CAAGTCATATTACTTCACATCTCTGAGCCTATTTCCTTAGCTATAAAATAAGCTTAGAGGCTTTACCACCTGGCAGAGTGAAATAAAATATATAAAGGTAGCTAGAAAAATAAGTATCACAAAGCATTGTGACTATGTACAGGACAATGTGCCACACTCTCACATATGCACACAGATGGCTTTACTGACTTGCTTGTTCCCTCTAACCTTTGCTCATAAGTATTCTCTCCCATCTAGAATGCTCTTCCTCCTCCTCTCTTGGATGATATAAATTCTCCCAATACTTCAAAGATTTTCTCCTGTTCTTATTGATTTCTCTGGTATCTTATGTGGTACCAAAAATAAGAACCATGACATATTTCAACTATTATGTGCATAGGGGGCTGGGGAATTTGGTTTCTCCAAATAGACTGTAAACCGAGAGCAGGAACAGGCAGTCTCCAGCAGAAGGCTGAAAACCCAGTTTCTCATCACGCTCTAAGCTGCCTGATTGACCTGATTTAGTTTCATGTAAGTGGGTAGGTATGATTTTAGTTTGGCAAGGAACTGATATAGAAAAGAGACTATGGAGTCATAAAACCTGAGTTTGAATCCTGGTTGCACCACTATGTGACTTTGGGCAATTTACTTAACCTCCCTGAGTTCCCAGGTTCCTCAACTTTGAGATTAGGATAATACCACCAACCTCAAAAGGCTGCTGTGATTAGAGGAGATACTGTTTATAAAGCAGCTAATATAGTGACTGGTATATGTTATTTACTCAGTAAATGTGACTTCCCTTTCTAACTTGCCACCTGTGCAATTCTACACAGAATTCAATATTGTCTGATGACAAAATATTATATCTGAAAACAGTATGCAGCAAATATTTCCATGCCTTTCAGCTCAGGAATAGGCACACACAAATTCTCCTTTTCCAGTGTTTTTTATTTTCACATTTAATATTCACAAATCATTTGACAGATTTATTCTTTTCACAGGTTCATTATTTATAGGAAAGATCAGAATTAAAATGAACTATCGAAGAGGACCAAGAATGGCACAGAGCACAAAGGCTCTGAAAAAGACAAGAGAGTGAACAAGAGCAGCGTGTGGCCACTTCCTACCAAGGAACACTGACTTCATTAAGGCAAAGCCTTTACTCTGTTTTTTCTCCCCCCCACTTAGTTTAACCCAAATAAAAAGGTATTCTATTCTCACACTACTGCTCTCTGAGGTCTTAGGAATGTAGTTGGTACTATAAGCGACCAGATACATCCCTTGAATATAAACACCTAAATAGACAAGTTAGATTTTGATGCATTAACCATCCCTCCGGGAGAATTAAAACGAAAGAGGCAGAAGTTGTTTGATTCTTAAGACTGAGAAAAAGTGAGAGGGGTATACGTGTGTGGTGGTGGGGAGAGGGGAGGGGAGAAAAGAGGCTCAAGAAGGGATGAGGGCAGCAAACCTAACCCTTCCCAATGTACAACTGCTCTTGTGTTTTTCTCAGATGCTAATAATATTGTTCTATTACTCAGAAGAAAAGAACAAGAGTTATCTACCTCCAGTCAGTTGTAGGATGTAACAGTTAATAAGAGGGAACATGCCCTGGGTATAGGGTGTATTCATTTCATATACATAACAATGCAATTCAAAACTTCAAAACTGTGTCCTACTATGCTCTCATCTAATGTGTTTTCCTTTTTTAAATCAATTTACTGTGTGACCTTGGGCAATTTGCTTAACCTTTCTTTGCCTCTATTGTCTACCTGTAAAATAAGAACTGTAGCACTTTAGGTTGAGGATTAGAGGAGATGCATGAAAAGCATTTAAGAATAGTGCCTGGCCAAATCAACAGAAACAGAAAGCAGACTGGTGATTGCCAGGGGCTGGGGAGAACAGGGAAAAAAGAAAGTGATTGCTAATGGCTATGGGGTTTCTTTGTGGAGTCATGAAAATATTCTAAAATGAGATAGTGGTGATAGTTGCACAACTATGTGAATATACTGGAAAAAAATCACTGAATTGTACATCACTTTAAAAGGGTGAATTTTATGGTAAAGTGTATCTCAATAAAGCTGTTATAAAAATTTTTTTTAAAAATAGAATAGTTCCTGGCACACAGTAAGTGCCCAATAAATGTTAGCTATTATTAGTAGTAATGTTATTGTCATTATTATTATTTGACCATCCTATGGCCTAAGTAAATTCCTAGAAATTCTTTATTTTTAATAAAAGCCCACAGAATCTATAAAAGTATTTCTAATTTACATACAGGGATTAACATTCACACATTTATTTCTATCCAAATTGTCTCAGAAATTAACAGTCTAGTTAAGAATCACAATTTTAGTATTTCACTCTGGAATAAAACAGCTGCATTCAATGGACATCTGATCATATCATGATAGGCTTTAGATCAATTCCAACGACTTGATGTTACTCAAGAATTTGAAATGACAGGAGATTTTTATTTTCATCTCCAGGAATAAACAGGAAGTCCAAATACAGGAAGTAGTTACATATATAAAGTACACAATTAAATCTTCAAATACAGGCTTGCTAGCCTTCTAACCACATTTTGGAGGATACTTTATAAAAAGACAAATATAGTAGACAGTAAAATGCTTACCAGTCTGATGCCCTGTGACCCCACCTTGCCCAACAACAGAAAAACCCCACCACAATGAAAAGATCTAATTCAACTTATGTAATAAGACTCTTAAGAGGCAAAAGACTTGATGATTAATGATTGACTTTTAAGATTACACTGCACATTCAAATATGTTCGCATCAATTGAGTTTTTATAATCTGGACAGTGATTAATTCCAGTCTTCACCTTTCCTATTGCTAACGAATATGACAACGAAGTCTCAGTCTCAGAAGTAGGAGCAGCAAGTGATAAGCTATGATGGCAGCGATTTACCACATTCGGGAACGATGCTCACACGCTTGAATTTCATCTGAAGCATGAAACTTCCCAATTCCTGCAACAGGGTTTCCTTTGTTAGAGGTCCCCCCCTTCTAGTCCTCTTTTCTATAATTAGCCATGTGCCTTTGCAGCAAATCAGGGAAAGCTGTGTTGAGGGTTACAACTTTCAGATACTCAGGTCTTCTGTCACAGAAAGCAATGTACTTTTTTGCATATATTAAGAAAATATTTATTTATACCTTCAAACTAACCACTCATTTTCAGAAAGATAATTAAATCTCCATTTTACCCACCTTCATTTAAATCAAATAAAACCATTCTCTAAGTCACCCAAGAGCAACAGATTAATACACAGAACAAGCTGCCTTAACACCCAATATGTATATCAGGCTCCCATACACACACACACACCCTCCATCCCCACCCCAAAGTTGTGGCCTTAGGAATTTCTGACCAAATATTTAGCCTGAGTAAAATTCGGTGAAGACTTAATTCCCTTTTGAGAAGCATAATTATTTCTTTAATTTTAAATTATAATCATTGGGACAGATTATGAAACAACTTTGGAACAGAGATATTTCTAGTGGGAAGTTAGAAAATTTCAGACAATGGAAATGGATGATAATTTAGGACCAATTTCAAAATTAGAACCAGTTTCAAAATATTTTCTTTACCAATTCAAGACTGAAACATTGGCTTTGACTTCATAGGGTTTATTTTAAAATCTTAAAGGGAAATTGAAATAAATACAAAAATATAACCAAAAACTTTGGACAAGGTTGGGACAGAGAGGACCAACTTTGTAATGATTTGTAATCGAGCATCATTCCAAGAACCAATTTGTCCTGGTATTGTTCACTTAGTTAATCTGGATATGAAGAAAATAGGTTTTTAAAATTATATATCTATGTGTAGGTAGTCTTTAAATACAGAAATGAATAAATATTTAAATTTTACGATAAAGAAAAAATGTGGAATAAGAAATTCCTATCTTGGGCCAGCCCAGTGGCGTAGCAGTTAAGTTCATGCGCTCCGCTTCGGCAGCCCGGGGTTCTCAGGTTCGGATCCCGGGCACGGACTGACGCACTGCTTGTCAAGCCATGCTGTGGCAGCGTCCCATATAAAGCAGAGGAAGATGGGCACAGATGTTAGCCCAGGGCCAATCTTCCTCAGCAAAAAGAGGAGGATTGGCAATGGATGTTAGCTCAGGGCTAATCTTCCTCACACACACACAAAAAAGAAATTCCTATCTTTATAGGTAACTGTATATTTACAATGAATGTTTTCTGCCTGACTCCTAATCTTTGTCTATTAAGAGTTCTTCCAATGTGTAATTTATAGAAGGCAGCAGCTCATATTACCTTAAAGGAGCCCTGTTTAGCTCAGAATCAGCCTGTCTCAGATACTCTGCTCCCTGAAAAGTCTTCACACTTGTGTGCATAAATAGGTGAGAATACAAGTAGGTTGCACATGTGCAAAAAAAGTACTTGTCTAAAGGAAAGCTAATTAGCTTTACAAATAAAGTCTAAAATCAAGAAAATAAATTGCTATTCCCCAACCCAAAAACACATCTCATGGAAAAAACCGCTAAGCCCACTATGAAAAGGCAGCAGCTGTAAACCCAACTTATCTTACGTCATGTGTCTAGTTGTTCTGTGAATCAGCCATCAGAACATTAAATCCCTCCATGTTCACATGAAGGCTAAATGCAGGCTTCTGATTTAGCTTTACTCTCTAATTAAAAGCCAGGCTACAACACAGAATAACGAAGAATTCCTTATAGCTATGCTGTATCTAAATTGCCTCGTTCTACCCTTAAGAGAAGGTGCCCACATGATAATATGAATTAGGGACCTACCGATCTAAATTTCTGAGGTCTTCTACTTGGATAAGCTCAAGCGTTGGCCCACTGAGAGCTTCAGTCAAAGGAAAACGACATATTGACTACTAACACCTTAGCCTGCATATTCAGAGCTAGGGAGTAAGATTAAAAACTAAAGTGTCACTGAGGTGCTGTTAGGCATGGCAGAAAGGTGACTACACAGAAAGACTCAAGAAGCTGATTCTTTAGATGTCCTTTGCTTCTTTTTAAAGCAACAAGTGCAGAACTTTCTCTGATCAAAATCTGAATATTGGTTAATGCATGTTTTCTCCTCTCACATCTATGAATCCCCCTCCCAACCTCTGTCATTGCCTTTTTAAGCTGAAGAGAGTAATAAAAGAAAATGGATACAGATTATCCATTCTTATTCATAAGAGAGGCATATTCTAACAGTCATAAGGCAATGTGTTTAAGAGCTGCACCTGAACTGGTATTCTCAAAACTGAAAATATAGCTACCAACTCTATTCAACTTATAGGATGCATCCATGTGCTTTCGAGTCATTGGTTGTCACCCAAATGGACCATGGTGACTCCATCATGCCTTAAGAAGACATTATACTGTGTGTACTATGCACATGTATCTTAAAGAAATAACATTAAGAGGAAAAGAACAACCTTTCAAACATCAGTTCCTTACATAAGTGGCAACGGTGCTTCATGGCTCCCTTTTAATCTCCTCAGATACCCAGTTACCAAATACTTCCAAAACTAGACAAAAGAGGGCCAGAGGCAAAGCTCCATTGCATTTTTCAGATGAGCCTTCAATTCACTGGTTTTTAATTTCCACTCTCTGATTTACTAAGGAGTGAAGGTGAGAATCATCCAACTGATAACAAAATAGAACAAGAAAACAGGATAAACGGCAAGGGCTTTGCGATTTGGAGGCTGGCTGTCAGCAAGAAAAGCTGTAGAGGCTAAACAAAACAGAACAGAACAAGAAGGAATATTTAATACAATAAGATTGTCACAACCACTAACATTTACTAAACTTAAATGTGCTTGGCATAGTTTGGAACACAGAATTATACTAAAAGTTCAGTTATATTTGTGATCTTCAGAGAAAAAGGCATTCTACAGCATAGTTTTCCAGACAGCTAAGGGCTGCTCGTTTCAAGTACTAAAGCTTTGCAAGTTTTCAACCATTTTAGATGGAAATATTTCTAAAAGACGTTTCTTACTCTTTTCTGAGAAGTTATTGAACTGTGCTGAATAGGCTTACAAAGATCTTTGTGTAAGGTTATTTGATCCTATGGCAAATGGCCTCATACTGCTGTGCTTTGTGAGTAATTGTTCTTATTAAGTTATCAGCTCTTTTAGATGCCATTCCTCTTGTCCACCCAGGAAGTACCTACTCATCTTTTTACTCATCAGTGATCACCCTTCAGGGAAATCTTTCCTTAACAACCATCTGGTATCCTGCCACCACAGGCAGAACAGCCCACTTATCTCCTCTGTGTCCCCACTATAACCTGCAGAGATTTCCATCTCACCCCTGCAACATTTTATTGCCCTTAAGTGTTTACATGCCTGGCTGCTCCGCTAGATTGTGAACTCTGAGGATAGAGACCATGCTTAGCACAATGCCTGACACATAGTTTGCACTTAATAAATATTTGCTGAATTAAAGAAAGAATGCTTAAGGAGCCTCTCTCTCTTCTTCTAAGATTCTACTTTCTGAACTGCTATGGGCCTGGACACTGGATAACTAAGCTATTTAGAACCACATGTATGGTAAATTATTAGACTCTAAGTGAGGGAATGAGGGGCTTACCCATGGGAAAATCGTCCAAGCTTAATATACAATCTTTGGAATATCAATTCTGGCACTCTCAGACCTTATTTTTGGATTACGTTTTGGCTTTTAACATGTTCCAGAGCAAAGTGATGTTACTGCACTTAAAAATATTAGGCAGTCTGTCTATCCCATTAAATAAGAAGCTAGTGAACACTTCCAGTTCAAGGTGGAATTTTAAGAGAATTTTAGGAATGTAAAAACAATGAGCACATAGCATTCATTGCCAATGCTATAGGTTCTCCCTAATCTTTAGAATTTTCTACTGAAACAGAACAGTACTATATAATAATACTTAACAACCTGGGATACCTTAACTTACTGGTAGCAGAGTATGATCAGGTGAATGATCTGCTTGGGTTTGAAACTTGATTACCCTATTCACTAGTTATGTGTCCTAGGGCAATTTCCTCAACTTCTCTGTGTCTCTTCCTCATCTATAATAACAATAGTTTTTATTTATTAAAGTTGTTGTAAGGGTTAAATGAGATAATACACATAAAGCACTTATAACAGTGCTTGGCCTATAATAAGCAATCTGTACATGCTAGTTATTATTTCTATTATGATTAATTTGTCAGCAAAAGGCCCAAATCATTTCTCAAGTCACCTATGCCTCCTATATGCCAGGACTGAGCTAGGTCTAGTGTAATCTCCTTTCCCAACCCTATCCATTATTGAAGGATTAAATCTTAGAAGTCCAGATATCTAACTCAGATAAGATGGACATCATCCCTATCAATGCCTACTTAGAGCAGTGGGTTCTACAGATGACACTGGCAAGAATCACATCACTCACATGTGACTTAGGAGTTACACTGCTCCTCATCTGGTCTTCATCTCTAACTCATGTTTTTGTGTGTTCTGTCATTGTAGAGATAAGTACATTCTTACCTACGATAGACCAGGCAAACATCACGATCACCACAAAAAGCCGGACCATGAAGTTTATTGGTCCTGGCTCGGCCAAAAGTACCAGCCGGCAAACCAGCATTGCCACTGTCAAGGGAAGTATACAGTAACCCAGCACACAGAGGCTCTGAAAAAAAGATCTAAAAAACACACATCCATAAAGAACATAAATATAGCTGATCTGTATCATGATACAGTTTATTACACAGATTTTTATGTATCACAGATTGTTACCTTCCTCCAGATACATAATACCTATACCCTAACACTTATTTTATGAGGATAGGCCTCTGTATTAAGCACATGTTGTAATTTTTCTCTCTCCATACTATTCCTCCTCTCCTCTTAAACCCCTTAAGAGTCAACCATCTAGGACACCAGAAGATACTCTAATTCCTAGAGACCTCCTTCTCCCACTGAACCTCTGAGACAGTGGTTCTTAATCTTTTCCAGTCTATAGAACTATTTGAGAATTTGTTGAAAGCTATAGACCATCTGTTCCCAAAAATGGACATAATCTTCTAATCCAAAAAATTCTGCCTATGATTTTAGGGGCTGGAGGGAGCATCTGAAGCTTATCAAAGGAGCCCAGATAATTTAAGATAATTTAATTCAACTAGGTTATCTCCGTTCAGTAGTTTTAAGAGAACTGTCTCTTTGGCCCTCATTTATCTTCAGTTTTCCTTTTAAAAAATATCTAACTAGCCAGACTTCCTTAAAAAGCTAAGATATGCTACACAGCAAGAGAAAAATGATGCATTTTAATAATACTCACATGTTTCCTCCAAGAAGTTTTGAGTTGAGGGTGATGGTAACTGCACCAAACCAGACAATGACAAACACTTCTGCAAACTGGGGCCCTCCATCTTTTTCGCTATCTACAGAGCCTCTTTGAAGCATTCTGTGACAAGGAAACGACATGAGAATTGCCTAATCTTCTATTTAGAGCAACAAAGTTAAGGCATGGGTTCTCGAACTTGGAATCAAGAGCTACCCTATACCTCACCTGCAGATCTGTAATATGTAGGTTGTACGAAAGGAAAATGCCACAAGTATTTGGCAAGCCTCCCTTACTTCAAATTCCCAATGCCTCAGGACTATATGGAGTGCTCCATCTGGCCTTGGTGGAATGTTTAAATGGATTACTGGAGACCTTTTTTGGTTAAGCAGAGGTTATAAATTGAAGGGCCAAATGAGGCTCACAGACATGAGGTTGTTGGTCCATACAATCCTTAGAATGGTTTTAAATTCAGGTTGACATTATTTTAAAATTGGGAGGTTTCACATAAAAATATGTATTTCTGGATTTTCTTGAAAAATCAGAAGAGTTTCTAATACTGGGCCTGCATTCCTACACGGCAACAATCAGCGGCATTTGACATAGTAGCAGGTTCCTTTACAAGAGACTTCTCGTCACCAGTTTAACCTAATACATGCATTTAGGTTACCTCTCTAGCCCTTAGATACATTTGAATTTGTAATCCTTGGATTAAGGTTTTTGGTTCTGACATTTAAAAATGGACACAGTCTATAAACCTATTTAGTTGTTGATTTTAAAAAATCAAAACATACAGATTATTACTAAAAGACTGCTTTGAAACTGAGTGGTTGAACAGTCATTTAAACATCCTCTCTTTGTCTAAGAACTTTACAGACGTAAACTGTTTAGAATTTTAGCCTTAGAACACTTGGACTTGGTGTTATTTTTTCAGACAAATAATAAGTAACATCAAGCTCACAATCTCTTCTTATTACATAGTATAGAGAAGTCACACAGTAAGTCTTGCCCTGCTATGCTGTTTGCCAGTACAGGCTTTTGTATTCTATGGTTGTGCATACTCCATCCCAAGTCCTGACAATCCAATGCAAAGAATGCCAACACTCATCATTTGTTGTATGGAATCTGTATTGCTTCAGCATGGTATGATGGAAAGAACATTAACTGGCCTAGAAGGCAGAAGACCCAGATACTGATCGTAGTTCTGTCACTAGATATGTAAACTAGAGCAAATCACTTGATGTCTTGGGACTTCAGTTTTCTTCTTGGCAAGTAAGTGGGGTTAAACTACATAATCTCTAAGGTTAATCCTTCAAAACAAAAAGCATATGCTCAGAGCTTCTAATATAAACCCTTCCATCAAGGCACTGGATTATTTCCCTTGATATCGTCATTAAAGGCATAAAAAATAGCACTCTACGTTATCACCTAAATTAGCATATGCTCGACTTAACGTTAAAAAATGGGTAGAGAAGCCAGCAAGAAACTTACTGAATTTAGAATCATAAAAGCTTAGACCTGGAAAGGACCCTGAACCAACTCCTTTTGTAGATATGGAAGAGGAGACCCAGAGAGGTTACGTAGGAAGAGATGTGTAATTATCACAGAAGTAGAGAATGGGCAGTCAAGGAAACCTGAGGTTGAATGCCAGCTCTACCACTGACTATGTGATCTTGGTTCAGTCCTCAATCTCTTTGAACCTGAGCTGGTTTGTCAAAAAAGGAAAATAATATTCACTTCTTGCTATGAGAATAAAATAAGAGAAGGTATTTAAAAGTTTTCTCTAAACTGGGAAAAATCATTACACAAACTTTGTATAATGCCCAAAGTCACTCTGCTGATAGCAGAGTCAGGATGAGAACCCAGAACTGAATCCTAGTGTAGTATTTTTTTCCACTCTACCAGTGGTTATATTCCCCTTCCAATGGAACTTTGCTTTCCTTCTTCTGTCTTCTCCCTTTACATATAATGCATATGGAAAGCATAATACTTTGAAATATAATCTTGCTTTAAACTCTACCACTTGTATTCTCTCTAATTTACTCATTCTCATTCATATTTTTAATAAGACTTAAAAAGAATTATGTTTTCAAATAAACAGAGCTCAAACCTACAGATATTTAACTCAGTTTAATGATGGGGAAGTGCATGAGACTAAACAAATGTCTGTTGAACAGAAATGGCTAAAAAAGGCTAAGAAGTCATTGGTAAACAGAGGTGGGTATAATTTTCACATCTTTAATTCTATCACTCTTTGAATTGATCTGGAAAGATGATTGAATTTTTAGATTTAAATACATAAGGAGTACAATATGTCATAGAAGTCCTAAATGAAATATTCAGTCAAAATTCCCCTCAATTTTGAAACTCCACAAAAAAATATAGTCTCTCAAATAACAAAGAAAAGAAATATAAGTACTTACAATGCAAGTGTCACACAAAGGATCAAAGGGCCCCATAAATCCCCTACAAGGCAAGAAAAGGCAGAAGATTATTAAGAAACAACAATGTAGTATTTTCTATCTTTATTCCAATATCTCCCTCTCCTACTCTTGGAATTCAGACATCAAGGCTCTCTGTCTGCCCAAGCCTTCCCACCTCTACTACCCCTCTACTTTCCCTCCCTGCTCCCCAATTCTGAATGCCCTTCTTCACATATCCTTTAAATTTTGCTCACTTATATCCCACAAATCACCCCTCTCCCCACCTGAGCCACATTCCAGCATGCTATAGACCAATGGGCAAGGAGTCAAAAGACTCAGGTACTTCACCCAGCACCCTCAGAAAGACTACAGCCAAGTCACTTCACCAATCTGAGACTACATTAGACAAGGGAAGTATAATCAGGCTCATCTCGCAAATATGAAAAATTAAGCTGAGAAGAAAGTGACTTGCCCAAGTTTATATAAGCAGTTAGGTGTGGAGGTGGGACCAGAACCTAGGTCTTCTGATTCCTACTCCAAAGTTCTTTCCACTCTGCCACACTGCTTCACTTTTATAATTATTACATTTAACTAGTATGTAATTGCTGTTCTTATAGGTGAGAAAACAGCCCAATATTGGTAATTTCATAAGGTTAAACTTTAACAAATAACATGAAAGCTTTCTGAAAACTGTAAAAGCCTCTGCCAACATCAGGTCTAAGCATAGTGGTTCTCAATCAATAGCTGTTGGGTGATTAATATGCCAACACTTCAGTAACATACAGCTTAGAGCACAACTACCTTCCTCAGCTAATACAAAAGAAAGGTACTTATACCACTTCTAACTTTAACTTTACAAGAACATAACTTTACCTATAAGAGGTATGCATATGTACATACTTACATTGTTTTTTTAAAAATTATATAAGTAACTGACATTACTGTGGAAAGTTTGGAAAAGATGTAAAAAAATCAGTCCTACCATTCTAATAAAATTATTGATGTTCTTGTTAAATTTTTTAACTTATCAACTGAAAAACTGATTCCAAGTACAACTGACATTAACACACTTGCTTTTTTTAATGCACTGAAGATTTTTTTTAATTTGTAAAAAATTTGTAATAGTATTTTAAAACTATTTTCTTATTGTTGTAAAATATATAACACAAAATTTACCATTTTAGACACTTTTAAGTGTACAGGTATTGAGTATATTCATTGTTGTGCAAGCATCACACCATCCATCTCCAGAACTTTTTCATTTTCCCAAACTGAAACTCCAACCCATTAAACAATAACTCCCTATTACCCCCTCAGCTCCTGGCAACTACCATTTTAGTTTCTATCAATTTGACTACTCTAGGTACGTAATACAAGTGGAATCATATAATATACGTCCTTTTGTGTCTGGTTTATTTTACTTAGCATAATGTCTTCAAGATTCATCCACATTGTAGCATGTGTCAGAATTTCACTCCTTTTTAAGGCTGACTAATATTCCATACATATATGGTGTATATACCACATATTGTTTATCCATCCATCTGTCGATGGACATTCGAGTTGTTTCTACCTTTTGGCTGTTGTGAATAATGCTGCTATGAACATGGGTGCACAAATATCTATTCGAGTCCCTGCTTTCAATTCTTTTGGGCATATACAAGTGGAAATGCTGGATTATATAGTAATTCTATGCTTAATTTTTTGAGGAACCACCACATTGTTTTCCACACTGGCTACACCATTTTACATTCCCACCAGCAATGCACAAGGGTTCCAATTTCTCCACATCCTCACCAACACTTGTTATTTTCTGTTTCTTTGATAAAAGCCATCCTAATGGGTGCGAAGTGGTACCTCATGGGTTTTTTTTTTAATTATTTTTAAGTCATGAATTTTTTCCTTGCCACTTTGCCAAGGGCTATGATAATAGGGCAGAGCAGAAGTGCAAATTTTGGCCATGACTTGCTCATCCTTTGTGCCAGTCTATCTACTTATCCCCACAAGGTTTGGGAATGGACCTTAATATATGACATAGCTAATATTCATCATTAATCAGCAAATTAACACACTGGTTCTGTGTTGTGACTGAAGCAACCTTGCAGCAGTTGAAAGGATATCTTCACATTTGGGGTAGCAGTGGTAGAGTGGAAAAGGGCATTGAACTTGAAAATTAGGTTCTATTCCCGCCTTTGTGATCCTGAGAAGACACTCAGCTTCTCTGAGACTCATTTTCTTCATCTGTAAAACAGGCACAATAACGCCTACTTTACAAGGTTGTTTTAATGATTAAACAAGATAATGTGTGGGGGGTGGAGAGAAGGCACTAGAATAATAGCTACCATTTATGGTGTGCCTACTAAATGCCAGATGCTGTGCAAGGTGGTTGATATTCAGTGTTATCTCTAATCCTCACCAACAAGTACATGTTATTATCTCCACTTTAACAGAGGAAGAAACTTTAGCATCAGAAAAGTTAACCTGTCTTATCCAAGATCACACAGCTAGTGATGGAACCACTATTCAAACTCAGATTTGCCCATGCTCTTTCCACTCTATACCAGTGGTAGCAAATCATGTGTCAGCTCCAACCCACAGTGTACTATATTGAAAAAGATTCTGATGCTGCATCTAGTATCCACACAGAGTAATGGCACATTTGCCACATATCTGACATCTTTATCTTACAGCTGAAATGCTGCCAAAATAGAAGGTATGTTCATGTACCACATCATTGTTACTATTCTCAAACAACTGATTCAATTTTTCTGATAAAGAGTATTAAGATAACCAAGAATGCTTGAAAATAAAAGGTCTCACAATTTTTAAGAATAAATTCTAAATAAGAGCATAATTTATTGCAAACAGTTTTGATAGAACTCTTGAACAAAGAAAGAAGTCATCAGACTAAATGACAGTTCTGAAAACAGAAATGTCAATAAAGGTACTATTAATTTGTTAATCCTTAATGGGTATTAGCTATTATTCTAATTTAACATTTAAACATTTTGCCTTTCCCTTGGAGATTGTTAGCTCTTTGGCTGAACAAAGTCGCTATGTGTTTGCAGCTTCCAGAAACATTTTTTACAGTGTCTATTATAGCAGGTGAGGATATCCAGTCTATATTTATTGATAAAGACAATACATTATGCAAAATCTTCCACTCTCTGAAATTCCCTTCTAAATTTTTAACTTCTTCCAAAATTTTCATTTACATATTCATTTACATATTTTTTCATCCTGCAAATGATGTCAGTTTTATTACCACAGAGCCTTTGCCTTATAAAGTACTTATGATAAGGTACAGTGAGAAGCAGCAAATCCTCAAAAACCTCATATACTTACAATCTCTCAAAAGAGTATTACTTTTCCTTGGGTATAAAACATGCATGAATTTTTTCCCAACAGCTTTTAGATCACGCATCTGAAAGACATAAACAACTTGTACTGTGATTACCAAGGTTGCCAGGCAGCCCCCTCACTTAATTTGCTAAAATTTCTTTTATTTCAATCTCCTGGGAACCTTTCATTGAATTTTAGAGCTATAATTACAGTTTAACTCCTTCACTATACAAACAAACCAGAGAGGTAAGGTTTTTCTATTAACTTTTTTTTTTACTAACTTCCTAAGCCAACACATAACTCTTCACCACATCCACCAGCTCTGTTTTGATTTTTAAAACTCTGTAAAAGAGAAATATGGCCCTCCTAATATGTTATTTAAAGAAACTAAAATAGTAACGCTACTAAAATCTGCTCTGCAAAACACAGCATCTGACTTTCAGTTCATACATGATGAGGTCCCAAGGACCAATTAGCCTGCTCCCTAGCTACCACATTCTTCCCAAAATAAAAAAAATTAATTTCCAACATTCCCAATTTAACTGGTAAGTAAATCCTAGAAGCCAGACTAAAAAAATCAAGACATTTGAGAAAGGGTATGGTAATACAAATATAACCTCTCAAAATATAGTTGAGATAATTCTGTCCTAATCTTTTCACCTAGAAATTTCTTCATGTCTTTAATAGCTCTTTGTAAACACGACTTTTAATGGTTGTTTAGCATTCCACCACATAGATGTAACATAATTTAACGATTATCCCTTCGTTGTTCAACTTTCCCATTATAAAGAATGCTGTAATGAACGTCTTTTTACATTTACATTTTTCTGTATTTTTAAAAATAATTTTTTACTTGAAATTTTTCCTTATACTATATCTGGAGAAGCAGAATTATCAGCTTAAAAAAATTTGAACATTTTAAGGTTCTTAATACGCATTATAACCAAACTGCTTTCCAAAAAGGCTGTACCAAATTATTATCTAGGGGAGAATCTGAAATTTCAATAAATAAAATATATTGAAAATCAGTGAACCAAACAAAAATTAACAAAGTGCTATTAGCTAATTTAGTCCCATGACACTGAACAGAAGTTCTCTCAACTAGTCTAACTTACCACGGTATTCTGAACAGATTCATTTAATGTGGAGCTGTCAAATTCCCGAATGCGAGATCTCATAGGAATGGTGATTTCTCCTTCCACGGGGATGTCTTGTGAGATGGATATATCTGAAAGGCCTGCAAACTGAGAAGAGTTAGAAAAAAATTTAAAGCCTTTAATCAACTGCAGCATTCCTCAAAAACATCATCATTTCCTAGAGAGTAGGAACTATGTTTTTTTGTAGAGTTTATACAGTTTATAAAGTAAGGTGTGAGCTCACCAGACATTAAACAATGCAGTTAACTAAAATTCTCAAATGCTTATTTCTTTTCATTTAAGGAAAGAGATGGCATATGATGGAAAAAATGATAAAGTAAATGGCATAGACACATTCTTGCCCTCAAATATTTGGTTTCATTCAAGCATGAAATCTTCACGTGACACAAACTAGCAAGATTGCAGAGCTATTAAAAAGTGACCTTTCAGCAATCCTATCATAGCACAGCCACAATTCTGTTGCACTTCTGGTCCTTAGTTGGCTCTAGTGGCCTCTGCTGGCTAAAAAGGAACATTAGGTGAAGCCTAAAGGGAAAGGGAAGAACAGGGAAATAGCAAAATACATCCTGAACTACAATCTTTTTACCAGGTTACCTGGCAACCACAGATCAATAACATTTCCAAAGTGAAGTGCAAACTTTTAAACTCATGTTCACCTGCAAATTTGATTATTACAACTGAAACTCTGGAATCTTCAAATCCCTAAGAAAACAGAAGCAATCTCTTTTCATATGGTTTTTGGCCCAATGGGCACAATATTTAGTGGGCAACAGTTGCAGGGAAATGAAACACAAGACAGTACACTGAAATTTTAGGAATAAGGTTGTTCAAAGAACTTGCAAAAAATAACTTCTCAATCACACTCTTAATAAGAGAAATGCAAATTAAAACTACTTGAAATAAAAATTTTCAGCTATTAGACTGGCAAGAATCTAAAAGTTTGACAACATACTCTGCTGGTGAAGCTGAGGGGACAGAGCCCTCACACACTGCTGGTGGGGATGCAAAATGGTACTACACGATTGAAGGTGAATCTGGCAATATCTAGCAAATTTATATGTGGATCGCCCATTGATTCAGCAAAGCCACTTTTAGGAGTCTAAAGTGGCAAAAATACAAAAACACATATACACAAGGCTCTTCATTACAACACTATTTGTAAAAGCAAAAACCTGAGAATAACCCAAATGCACATCAACAGAGGACTAGTCGAATAAAGTATGATATGTCCACACAATGGAGTACTATGCAGCTGTAAGAAGGAATGGGAATATCCCTAAGAACTATTACAGAGTATTAAAAAAGCAATGTGGAGAAAAGTTTGTATATATACTAACATTTATCTAGAAAAAAAGGGAATACAAATATATATACATGTCTGAATGTTATCTTTTAAATGTAAGAAATGTATAAGAAATAGGTCATATAATGTGACTTCAGTCATATGTAATGTAAGAAACAAGTCGTATGATTTTTTTTTTAAAAAAAGAGGCTTCCTATTGAGGAAAGGAGGGAATAAAGTAGAGGAGACAGGCAGAGAAGCTAGGCTTCTTTGAATACACATTGTTCTGTATATATGACTTGAAATCACATAAATAGTTCACATAATTATGAAACAAAGTTAAAATTTAAAAGCAGTCCCTAAAACTGAAAGAAAAATGAAACAAATGAACCTACTGTATGTTGAATTAAATACACAACCACACAGAGAGCAACTATGTCAAGGTGATTTTACAACACGGTAATTTGACTTCCAATTAGGATGCAGAAAGCTAGAAAGAACATCTCTCCCACCAGAACGAGAAAAAGCTAGATAAACTACAAAATCTAACTTTCCTTGAACCCATCAGAGAGCTGAGGCTGTAGCACAACCAAGCAGCCTGCATGAAATCGAAGGCAAGACAGATGCTTCCAAAAAGAGACGGGACATGAGCACTGGCTCATTTGTAGCAAAAGCACAAGATAACCATGACACTAAGCACCACATAGATGGTTAAGAATTCAGCTAAAATTTGAAATGAATTGCTAAAGGCCAATTGTGGACTAGTATGAGAGTGCAGAGCCCCTGGAACCATCAGACACCAGGGAGTTCACACCCACTTGCAGGCTCTTCACTACAGACTTCCATTAGGTCCAGGTGTGGGGGAAGGGAGCAGCTGCCACTTCTGAGAAAAGCACAGAGGCCCGCTGAGACTTTTCTCCCCTACAGAAAAAGGGCTTTAAAGCTGCTGGGGGGGGGCCAGCCCCGTGGCTTGGTGGTTGAGTGAGCGCGCTCCACTGCTGGCGACCCGGGTTCGGATCCCGGGCTCGCACCGACGCGCTGCTTCTCCGGCCATGCTGAGGCCGCGTCCCAC